GCATTTTCAAACAGGAGAGGGAGAGATTCACATTCCTGTTGGAAATTGGCAGCTGTGGCAGTGGTGATGAGAACTGATGTGGAGTCAGAGCGGCTGGAGGAGCTGATGAAGGTCAACTAAGGCTGACAGTGACAATAAAGGAGAAGTTCTCCACCGGAAAAACCAAGAGGATTTCCTGACTCATGGGATGGGGGAAAAAAATGCGAGGAGCAAAGCACTATACCAGAGTTTCTAAATCAAACTAATGAGTGATGAATGACCATTAGCCAAGTTAGGGCATGTGGGAGGAGAATGAATGGGAAGGAAATACTGAGCTGGACTTGCTTGGATGGAAATGCCAATGGGACCTTAAAATGGCCACTTTTAGGCCAGCTACTCTGACAGATAAGCTAAGGGCTACCCCCTGACCTTGGTCCAAAATCATGGCTGGGATTGCTAACTTAAAAGACAATGAAACCTGCATCCAAACTTAATTAACTATGTGAGGTTAACATAAACAGGCGTCCCATCAAATGTATATGTCAGAATACTTAGGATAGATTTTGTTTGGTGTATGATGCTGGGAATCAAACACCGGGCTCCATGCAGTGACAGGCAAGTGCTTTATCACTGAACCACGCCTCCAGACCTTAGAGTTCCAAAGTATATATTTTCAAAGTTTATTTATGCAGACAAGAGAAACTGTTTGAGGCCCAGACACTTGAGACTTTGGGAATTATTGAGCATCAAGGTAGTTCAAGGCAGGACTTTGGCCTGGATAGACAGCTTCTCCCATCCCACTCATCACCTTTCCCAAAGACAAAAAACAAAATCTATCTGATAAAGTACTATTCCAATTCTCCTTTAATCAGCAATTTGTTGTTCTCCCCAAAACACAAAATGAACTCAGAAATGACATACCCATGAAAGGATTTTAACTCCACCCAGTCAACAGAGTTTGTTTTGCAATATGTTGCTTCCCTAGGACTCCCCACCCCAGCACTAACCCGAGTGTGACACTTTTGGCTGTCAGGGCTGGGTGTTTTCTCTCTTTCTCTTGACCTTTAGAAAATACCACGCATATTAACACACACACCCTACTTTTACACACTGTGTGAGTGTGTGTGTGTGTGTGTGTGTGTGTGTGTGTAGAGAGAATGAATATATACTTTACATATACATATTTTATTATTTATACATTATATATTAAAAATTATGTATATATATATATATATATATATATATTGTTTTTTCATTCCAAAAATAAGGAATGCAGGGAGAGTAATCATGTAAGAAGGTTGACTTTGCAGATTAATACAGATTTTTGTTAAAAATCGCCTTTAATTGAAATGTCTTGTTGTTTTTACCAAGGACACAAACCTTTTGAACCGTGACTCATTCGGAAGCAGATTTACTTACCCCTATAGATTTACAGCACAGTTTTGATGTTGACTCCTCCTAATAATTCAGTAGCGGACTCTAAGGGAAAGGAATGAAAGGGCAGAGGGGAGTACTTTTACCAGATGAATGTAAGGAGAATTTCAGGAGAAGTCACGAGAAGGTGCTGTTGTCCTGAGTGATTTCCATCTTAGGTGGATGATTCACTCTGGCGTGTCCCTGACCCACCATACATCAGTGTGGTATGTATAGGCTCAGAAGCTAAAGTCTGTGGATTCAGTGGGTTCTTCTGACTCATGGTTGTGTCATTTCCTTTCAAGATTTTATTCTTCATCATTTTAATGCTTTTCCAAATTTAGTGGTTTGAGAGAACAACACGTCAATAGCAGACTCCTTATTACCTGGATCATCTTTGTTTCCTCTAAGTTTCTGTTTTTGTTTGGTACTGGGGATTGAACCCAAGGCCTTTTACCACCGAGCTGCATCCCAGCCATTTAAAAAAAAATTTTTTTAACCTCCCTGACTCTCAGACCTGCACACATAGACCTTGGCCTGTGCCTTACCTGTCATTTCTGTACCTGGGTGCTCATCTGTCTACCTTATGTGGTCTAATTCAGAGCATTCATCTAATGGCTTCCTTGGATTCACATGTCTCTCTGTCCAAGTGCACCGGTCCCTCCTGGACAGCTCAGTTTTGCCCTCCTGGGCTCTATCAGATACTTCCTCCACTAGAATCCACATAGGGTGATCTAGAAAATATCTCATATTTAATATAAAACATACAAACTTAAAACTTGAAATTGCTATCGAATGTATTCAGTAACTATAGCCCAGAGTAGCTTTTGTGTTCCGAGAGAGGCAGAAGATCACTTTTCCTTCTTAACATTGGGAAAGAAGAAAATATATGATAGGAAAATTTAGCAAGGAAATTTTTTTTTTAAAGAGAGAGTGAGAGGAGAGGAGAGGAGAGAGAGAGAGAGAGAGAGAGAGAGAAAAAAACTTCCAACATAATATTTTTTTTTTTTAGTTCTCGGCGGACACAACATCTTTGTTGGTATGTGGTGCTGAGGATTGAACCCAGGCCACACGCATGCCAGGCGAGCGCGCTACCGCTTGAGCCACATCCCCAGCCCTAGCAAGGAAATTTTATCATGTCAGATTTCCTATGTGATAAATCCAAAATTACTGTCAAGGGTAAACTGGGATGATTAAGCACTCACCCTGCAGGGTGCACGTTTACACTGCTCCGTCAAATGGTTTTTAAGGTCTCATCTCTTCTCGTTGCTGTGTATCAATACCGTAGTGGGCCTAAATGTTTTGATATCAACTCTGGCTTATGAAACAGCTCTTCCATCATCATCATCATCATCATTACATCATTTTGCTTTCAAAGATTGGGATATTTTAAAAAATCATTTGTGTCATTTTTAAGAAAGCAGAGTCAGCAGGACAAAGGCTTCCATATAAATATTTTATAAAGAGAGCAGCTCTGATTGGTTAGTGCTATTAAAATTGAAAATGTGGCACAGCTGAAGTATTAGCTTGACATCTTGTTAAAGGGTCGTTTTAGTCAGCTTTGCCTCAGTGTGACCAAAACACCTGACAAAGAACAACTTAGAAGAGGAAGAGTTTATTTTCGCTCACAGTTTCAGAGGCTCAGTCCATGATCAGCCACAGCTTTAAGCCCAAAATGAGGTGGAACATCGTGCCCGAAGGGTAGGAGAGAGGAAAGTAACTCAGGACGTGGCAGCCAGGAAGCAGGGAGGTCTGCTCACCAAAGACAAAATATAAACCCCAAAGGCACATCCCAGTGACCTACTTTCTCCAGTCACATCCTATCTGCCTACAGCCCAGTTAATCCCCATCAGTGGATTAATCCACTGATTACGTTAAGACTCATAATCGAATCATTTCACCTCTGAAAATCCTTGCATTATCCCACACATGAACTTCTGGGGGATACCTATATCTAAATCAGAACAAGGGTGAACTATAAGTTTTAGGATGATTTATTTTAGGAAAAATAAATCTGCCTTGGCTTAGCCTATTTCATCAAATAATTTAATTTGAATACACACACCCCTATAGATATAGTAATATTTTGGTTATGGTATTGATAGAGCTACATACTAAATATTTATGAAAAAAAAAGTTGTCTAAAAGTAATCTACTGGGGTGAAAATATATATATGTATATATATATAAATACGTGTGTGTATATATTAAAGTTGCAATGAATTGATAACAAAGTTGAACAGTGAGTATATGATAATTATTATATCATTGTGTATATACATATATGTATTTGTTTTATAATTTTCATGTAAAATATTAAAACACAAGCACATTCAGGTAAATATTGTTTGGCTTAAATATAGTCATTCCTAAACATCTGTGGGGGATTGGTTCCAGGAACCCCTGTGAATACTCAAATCCAAGGATTCTCAAGTCTCTTATATTTGTATAAAATCTACCCAAATCTTCCTCTATACTTTAAATCATCTCTAGATTGCATACACACACACACACATACACACACACATATGCCATGATACTATATAAATATATGTGTATGTATGTATATATATATATATATATATATGAAAATACAGTCACACGTCCCTAACCAATAGGGATAAGTTCTGAGAAATGTGTCTTTAGACAATTTTATTGTCATGAGAATACCTGTCATACAAAGATGGCTACAACGTCATCAGGCAATACAATCAGAGGACCTTGGTTGTATGGATAATCTGTCTTTGACCAAAGAAATCATATGTTATTAAGTAGTATGTAACTATAGTTGTTATGCTATATTTTTCAGAAAATCATAACAAGAAAAATATCTGTATATGTTCAGTACGAAAAAAAAATATGAATATTTTTAAGCTGTGGTTTTCAGCTAGGTCCTATCTCCTGATTTCTCATCCCAGTCTTGCCAAAAATATCAGGAAAGAGAGTAGCTGGTTACATCCCCCAAGGAACCAGGCCACTACTTACTTTATAAAAACACTTTCCTCTGTGGGATAATAGCTTCATTTGGTTTAGGCAAAGAAATGTTATAATGTTTCAAAAAAATGATGTTTTTTTTTTCCTTGACTGTATGGCCTTTTGAGTTCTCTAAAAGACCCAGTGTTTCCAAATAAATGTAGCAAAAGCTGCTATTTCAGAGATATCTTTGGAAAGCAGGGAATCACTTGGTAATGTGTTGAATCATTCTTGAAGTAAGATTTTTGTGTAAGTTTTTAAATGAGGTGAAGGTCTACACTTCTCATACCCATAGGCTTTCTGCTTTATATCTAGGTGTCCTATGGTGACATGAATCCCAAAATGATGTCCACTTTATCCACTTGGCTCCAAGGAGATTAGCTTAGTCTATAAAAGCAAAGTTCTGTTTTCACTTTGTGGGAGTTCTCAAGGTCTGGCTCCGTGGTCTTGCACCATGCAGATGGGATCATGGTCAGGCATGGAACTTCAGGGCAACATGAATTTTCCTCTCCATACAGTTCTCTTCCCATCTTGCCTGCTACAGATGGGGCTCTTGGAAAAAGAAAGCAACCTGATGATTATCCCAGGATAAGATTTTATGAGACTGTTAATATGTGGATTTCTTCCTTTTTCAGATGGGTGAGTCAAACGACGACATAGACCAAATGTTCAGCACTTTGCTGGGAGAAATGGATCTTCTAACCCAGGTAAACTCCCCGCTATTTAACTGCAAAGTGAGGAGGGAAATGGGATCACAGAATTTGATTTTTATCTGACAAGAGTGCTGTATGTAAAAGTAATGCTGGAGACTGACAACATTCTGTATTACATATTCTTGATATAACTGTGACAATGGTGGGAGGTGGTTGTAAAACTCCTTGCTGATTCTGTCGTTCTGAGTTCAGTTATTTAATATTTTGGTCACATGCATACATACATTCTCATGCATTCTGTTATGGAAATTCTAATGCTTACTGTGTCCAGTGGAGGAATTTTCCTCCTCTGACCACCACTACCTAGTAGTTTCCCTTGTGGTTAACTTTATAAAGACTGGCTGAGAACATGACATCATCTTTTGTGAAGTTTTTTTTTTTTTAACCAACCTTTGAGAGACTGTTACATTTTAAAGGACTAAGTGGGAGTAATTATGACCCCCTGAGTGGACTGTCAGAACTTTCAAAACTTGGTTCCCTCAAAGGAGCATGAAGGCCACTCAGCCATAGGCTATAGGGCTGAGAAAAGTGGTGTCACCAAGACCACATTGACTCAGAGATCAGGTCAACGGGAGCCCAGCAGCCAGAGACCCAAGGCCACTGACCCAGGTCTCAAAGTCTGGTGAGCTTTAGAGCATCTTGTCATGTGCTCACAAATGCTTCTTTGACTCAGAGGACACTCGGGTCATGACAAAAAGGTCAAAATAAAAAATAACCCAATATTCCTAAAGAAGGCAGGGATCTTGAGTTTTCTACAACATAAATGAGTTGTCTGCATTTTCAAAGACTTTTTTAGGAAAAAAAAGTTAGTTATATGTACATTCTCTATAAAATTCATGACAGTCTTTATTCTATAAAAGAAGAGACAAAAGGTAAAGCCCTCGTGGAAGGGTAGTGGTCAGAAGGTGGGTTAGGGCACTAGCCACGTTTCTGCAGATGAGGGCTTTATTTCCCTCTCATGAGGGAAGAGTGTGAGTGAACATTTATGACCTTTTGATGGTCATAATATGACCATTTACTCCCTTTACAGCCAGTGGGTATTGGCTTGACTGGCAGAGTCTGGGATTTTCATGGGACCATGGTTGATTCTTATTACTATAATTCAAGAGCGGGACATAAATAGACTTACAGACAAGAACCATAGGATTATCTCAATAGATGCAGAGAAAGCATTTGACAAAATACAGCATCCATTTGTTCTTAGAACACTAGAAAAACTAGGGATAGTAGGAACATACCTCAACATTGTAAAAGCTATATACATTAAACCAAAGGCCAACATCAGTCTGATCCAAGAAAATCTGAAGGCATTCCCTCTAAAAACTGGGACAAGACAGGGATGCCTTCTTTCACCACTTCTATTCAACATCATTCTTAAAACCCTAGTGAGAACAATTAGGCAAAAGAAAGAAAATAAAGGGATATGAGTAGGAAAAGAAGAGATAAATTTATCTCTGCTGATGATATGATCCTGTATTTAAAAGACCAAAAAAAAATGCCACCTTAAAACTTCTAGATAAATGAATTCAACAAAATAGCAAGATACAAAATTAACACCCTTGAGTCGATTGTGTTCCTGTACACTAATGAAGAATCAGCTGAAAGAGAAGTTAGGAAAACTATCCCATTCAAAATAAAGCCTCAAAAACATAAAATAAAATGCTTGGGAAACAATCTAATGAAAAAGATGAAAGACCTCTACAATGAAAACTACAGAACACTAAAGAAAGCTTAGAAGATGGAAAGATTTCCTATGTTCTTGGATAGGCAGAATTAATATTGTCAAAATGCCATACTACCACAAGCAATAATGCGATTCCTATTAAAATTCCAGTGACTTCTTCATAGAAATAGAAAAAGCAGTCATGAAATTCATTTGGAAACATACTCGGCCCAGAATAGCCAATGCAATCCTTAGTGAGAAAAGTAAAGCAGGAGGTTTCACAATGCCAGACCTTAACTTACACTGCAGAGCTACAGTAACAAAAACAGCATGTTACTGGCACCAAAACAGACATGCAGACCAATGGAAAATAATAGAAGACACAGAGACAGACTCATATAAATACAGTTTTCTCACGCTTGATAAAGGCATCAAAAACACACATTGGAGAAAAGATAGCCTCTTCAACAAATGAAAAACTGTAAATCCATATGTAGTAGAATGAAATTTAACCCCTATCTCTCACCCTGCACAAAACTTAACTCAAAGTGGATCAAAGACCTAGATATTAGACCAGAGACCCTGTACCTTCTAGAAGAAAATGAAGACCAAAAGCTCCAACATGTCAGCTTAGGAACCAACTTCCTTAACAAGACTCTTAAAGCACAAGAAGTAAAATTAAAAAATAACAAATAGGATGGCATCAAACAAAAGCTTCTTCACAGAAAAGGAAATAATCAAGAGTGTGAAGACAAAGCCTTCAAAATGGGAGAAAATCTTTGCCACCTATATCTCAGAGAGAGCAGTAATTTCCAGAATATATAAATAACTCAAAAAAACACACCAAAAAACAAATAACCCCACCAATAAATGGACAAAGGAACTGAACAGACACTTGTTGAAAAAAGAAATACAAGTGATCAAGAAGCATATGAAAAAATGTTCAATATCTGTAGCAATTAGCAAAATGCAAATTAAAACTACACTGAGATTTCATCTCTCTCCAGTCAGAATGGCAATTACCAAGGTTACAAGTAACAATAAAATGTTGGCAAGGATGTGGGCGAAAAGGTGCACTTATCCATTGTGGTGGGACTGCAAATTGGTACAACCACTCTGGAAAGCAGTATGGAGATTTCTCAAAAAAACTAGGAATGGAACCACCATTTAAACCAACTATCCCACTCCTCAGTTTATATCCTAAGGATTTAAAATCAGCATACTACAATGATTCAGCCACATCAATGTTTATAGCAACTCAATTCCCAATAGCTAAGCCATGGTGCCAACGTAGGGTTCCCTACAACAGAAGAATGGCTAAAGAAATTGTGATATACATACACAATGGAGTATTACTCAGCCGTAAAGAAGAATGACTTTATGACATTTGCAAGTAAGTGGCTGGATCTGGAGACTATCGTGCTAAGTGATATAAGCCAGTCCCCAAAAACCAAAGGTCAAACATTTTTGCTGATATGTGGAAGCTAACCCACAGTAACAGGGAAAAGGGGAAGAACAGACATTCAGTAGACAAAGGGGAATGAAGGGAAGGGATGGGGGATAGAAATAGGAAAGACAGTGGAATGAATCTGACATAACTTTCCTATGTACATATATGAATACACCACAGTGAATCTCAACATCGTGTACATCCACAAGACTGGAATCCTAATTAGAATAAGATATGTTCCATATTTGTATAAATATATCAAAATATATACTGTCATGTGTAATTAAAAACAACAAACAAAATTTTTAAAAGAATGGGAAAGAGGAGCCTCCAAGACTATTGAACCTGCCTTTGGTCAAGGACCTTGGAGTTTTTGCTAGCTCTTTGTTGTGCCCAGGGAGGTGTAGTCAGCTCTCCCATGGGGGTAAGCCCCTTCTTCTTTTCTTTCAGGGCAAGAAAAAAGGTCTCCCTCATCCTTGACTCCAAGATCTGTTGTTCAGTTTAATCACTACCCCGTTGCCCTTTGAGATGACTAAGTATTTTTCCAGCCATTTGAAAAACTGCTGAATTTCACAAATTTATTTTCTGATTGGTTTTCTCCAGAACTTTAGAAAATGATCAGGGATATCTTTTACCAAGTTAAATTAACATAAAGGGATGCATTCACTGTCATAAAAATATTCATGTTGGAGAACATGTGAGATCACTCCTCAAAAAATTAATTTGTAAATATAATGGTTTGAAATCATATAAAAAAATCACTTATTTCCAAATAAAACATAACACTATTTACACAATTAATAGCTTAGTCTATGTATGTTTTTAATTTTGTAGTGCTGGAAATTAAATCCAGGGCCTCACGTATTCTCAGAGCTATACCCACAGTGCCTTAATTTCCTTTTAGTAAGATTACTGCTCAGAGCAACAGCATAATATTTTATTATATATAATAGATTGCATCCTGAAACAGCTTTTCTCCTCTAAATGATTTTTCCTTCTCTTTTTTATGTCATGACTTAAATCTTTATAGATTTATACATAGTATGTGTGTTCATCATTACAGGAAGATTTTTCTTTTGTTTGTGGAATTAATTGTGTCATTCTCAATTGACCGGATCTGTTACAAGATGCTCTTTAAAGAGTAACATTTTAAATCACCATTCTCCATAGGGAGAAAACTCACATAAAACATTCTCAAGTAAGAATATGGTCTTGAAAGAACATAGTTAAAGAGAAAAATGTGTAAATAATAAGAGATGTTTGACTTGCTGATTAAAATGTGCTCTGTTGGTATCATGAATAACTCTGAGGGGGCTGGGATCTGTTTTCACAGAGTTTAGGAGTGGACACTCTTCCTCCTCCGGACCCTAAACCACCTACAGCTGAATTTAACTACAGTGTGGGTTTTAAAGATTTAAATGGTAAGCATAACAATTTCTTTTCTTAAGTAATTTGAAAAAAAAAACTTGTATGGAACTATAATTTGAAAACAAAATTAAAGGAGCCTGAGTGTCATGGTTGAAGTTTTGGATTTCAAATTGTGTTTTACTGTACCTGGATTGAATTAAGAAAATCAATTGGACATTTTTGTCTATAATGCAAAAGAAATAATATTTACTAGAAAATGGCAGACTGCATCCTAAAAATAGCTTTTCTCCTTCAAATGTCTAGATATTTCTTTGATAACGTTATTGAAGCCTTCATGAGGAGATGCTGGTGAAAATCTCGAAATTATCTTGGTTTTTTTTTTTTTTGGAGAAGGGGAGTTTCTTCTTATTGCTAAAGAGTGTAGCGTAAGAAAATATTAATAAGGAAATGTCTGTTCAAGAATAAAAATAATTGCAGTGCAAGAGAGCTAGCTGTGCTACAGTTGTAATAGGTGGGACAGAGGAAGCTGGTCAGTGGAAAACTAAGCTATTTATGTTAGGTAGCTTAAAATAAGGTAGTTCTTAAATCCCTAATGTTCCTAAGAGACACTTTTCTAGCTACCCTCTGGCGCATCTGGCACCTACATCCTTGAGATTGTTCTTTTTGATCCATTCTGGATTTTTTTAAAAATAAATATGAAAAAATATGAAAAAACAAAAAAAAAGAATAAAAATAATATCTCATAATGATTGATTATACATGAATGAATATTTCAAAATATGTTCTAATTTATATACGATATATGCTTATATGCAATTTGGTCCATTTGACATTTTTAAACTACCCCTGAGGTTGACATTTGCTATTATTAACAAAAATCTCTCTTCTTATTTAGTGCAGAAAAAAAAAATCTTTAGCTCAGATGCTATTCAAATTATAATAAATCTTAAAGTAATCACTTCCAAATTAATGAGAATTCACTGGAACTCTTGAAAAAGATTTGCCAAAGTCTTGTAGTGACCACAAAAAAATATAAAAACAAGAGAATCCAGAGTTCCAAGTTTTCTTTCTTTTCTTCACTGAGTTCCCATGTTTCCATCATTTTCAGTGGTTTTTTGATAAGCCAGTGAGTACCAATGACTGTTCCTTGATAAATTAGACCTCTTCTGATTTTGCTCTTTTTTCAAAACTCTTTTCTATTTTCCACATAAACTTATTTCTGCCAGTCATTTCCACGAAGATGGTAGCAATTTGTAGAACTTTCAAAAAAGCAATACACTTTTGTAAAATTATGACAGCCATAGAGTCTTGCACGTATGGGCGGTGCAGATTTGGCTTCACCATACTTACAGCAGCTTAAGTACTTTACCCTCCGTTCTATTACAATTAAAATTTAATCGACATTTCAATTGAGTTGTATTCAATTCAACTAATGTTTCCTTGGCCCTAACATAGAGCCTGGTATGGAAAAAGTCCCAGAAAATGATAGGAACAAGAAAACCTAGCAATCTCTAAGTAGCAAGGTTACAGTGTGGTAACAAGAAACTAAGAAACTCGTCTCGTTAAGACAAGATGCACACGTATCGCTTAGTTTGGGAATAGGACAAGAACATCTAAATGTACTGATATATGTGAAAAACTATTTTTTTAATTTTCCACATTTCTATTGGTGCATTATAGTTGTACATAACGGATGGGTTTTGTTGTTGCATATTCGTACATGCACACAATATAACAAAGTAACTTAGCCAATATCACTCCCCAGATCTGCCCCCCTCCCACCTCACCTCTCACCCCTTTTTCCCTTTCCTCTACTGATCTCCCTTTGATTGGAAAATTCAATTCTTTTGAGATAAGTTTAAGAATAAATATTTTACTGTTTTCACATTAAAAAAAAATTGCTAAAATGATTCAGAATATTTTGCTCAAAGTCATTCAGAGTTAGTGACAGACTTGAGAGCCCATTTCTATCTCGTTCTCCAGCATCATATTACTCATGTATTTATTAATTTAGGGTTCTTCATTCATATGTTGAATTTTATTTGAAAATTATTAATGTGATATCATCATGGGGATTTTGTTACTGAAATATTTAGAATGAATCAAACGTTTTTATGTCAACAGTCAAAATACAATTGATTGTGTTAGGGAATTATGAACAGGCTATTAGTTATATAAATTTCTCTGAAAACATTTATTTATTTACTTACTTATTTATTTGTGATGCTGGGGATGGAACCCAGGGCCTTGTGCATTGTGAGGCAAGCACTCTACCAACGGAGCTATATCCACAACCCTGAAAATATTTTAAATTAATTTTATCTTATAAAGAAATCGTATGTAAAAAAAAATGATTGTTTTGGTCAGCTTTTTCACTTCTGTAACTAAAGAATCTGACCAGAACAATTTTTGAGGAAGAAAAGTTTATTTGAGGGCTCCTGGTTTCAGAGTTCTGAGACCATTTACAACCAGCTCCATTTCCCCCAGGGGCTCGAGGTGAGGCTGGACATCATGGCAGAAGAGTGTGGCAGTGGGAAGCAGCTCACATGATGATCAGAAAGCAGAGAGAGAGACTCCACTTACCCAATACATATATATCCCAAAGCCACGCCCCAGGGCCCCACCTCCTCCAGCCACACCCCACCTGCCTTCAGCCACCACTCAATTAATCCCATCAGGTGATTAATCCACTGATTGGGTTCAGGCTCTCACAACCCCATCATTTCCCCCCTTGGAACAGACCTCTCTCAGTGTCTCACACATGAGATTTTGAGGGATACCTCACATCCAAACTCTAACAATGGTTTACAATAAAATAAACCTGTTACACATTTAGGTGATCAGAAATTTAGTAGGAAGTACTGTACACTAGAACTATTAGTTCTGATGTAATGTGTCATAAGGTGTTGATGATATTTGACAATAAGTTATTTCACAAAGATTTATGCTTTGCCACCGAGCAGGCTTTATATCTTCGGCTCATATTTCTTCATTTCCGTTCAGCCTGGAGCAACGAGAATTCTCTTATCTCATGGATCACTTCTATCCTGCCCGTCTTTAATTTATTACGTTCACTCATCTTCAACATGTTCTACTAACACTGCCCACCAATGCCACTCCCACTATGCCTGGCAATCTAATACCTTTCAGGATCATATTTGTGGTCTACCACAGTGATCTCACACTTGGAACAAAGTCTAAGGTGAATGCTTCTCCTTGCCCTTCACCCTAAAAATCCATGCCCTCCCTTTATTTTATAAGTGCCCTCCCAGCTCACTATCTCCGTAAGTCTTTTCCATTTAATCCCATAACGTTTTTTTATTCCTTAAGACCATTGCTGCTTTAATTCCTGCTATTTATCATTAACCGCTCTTTCTTTGAATGTGAGACCTCCTGTAGCTGGGCGGGGGGAGAATCTACAGAAGTTCCATCCTCAACCACAAAGCCTAAACTCATATTAAACATAGCATGTTGAAACTCACATATTCCAAATATATGTATCAGCATTACTCTCTCTATCCTCCAAATGCTTAGAGAGAACTCGCTTTCCATCCATTTCTCTTATTTTCCTTCCCTACTTTTCTAAAACCCTAAGATCTTGCACTATAGAAGAAATGCTCCTTACCTTCTCTTCTATTTATGTGCTTGGATTTGACTTTATAGCTGATATGTGACATGCCCCAGTAGAAAATAGTTTCTCCTTTTCTTCCAGTTAAAAACTCATATTGCACTCAATAAATGCCACCATAATCATTTTAGAAATTCTTATACTTGTATGTTCTACTGAACATACCTTTTCACCCTTTCTCATATCATAACAAATCAAAAGAATGACTTCACTACTCAAATATTACTCTTAAAAATACCTTCTTTCAGGCTGGGTCTGTAGTTCATTGTGGCAGAGCGCTTGCCTAGCATGCATGAGGCATGGGGTTCAATCCTCATGACCACATGAAAATAAACAAATAAAATAAAGGCATTCTGTCCATCTACAACTACAAAAAAAATTTTTTAAAAGATTTTCTTTCAGTTTTTCCAGGTGCAAATAGTTGTTTTTATCATTAATGTGATTTTCTCTGTCAGAGTCTTTAAATGCACTGGAAGACCAAGATTTAGATGCCCTCATGGCAGATCTGGTAGCAGACATAAGTGAAGCTGAGCAGAGAACAATCCAAGCACAGAAAGAATCCTCTCAAAGGCATCAGGATTCAGCAGCTGCAGAGGTGTCAAATTATAGTGGTGCAGCCTCTCTGGGATATGGAGCAAATGTTGCTGCAACTGGTTTTAGCCAATATGAGGATAATTTACCACCTCCATCTGCTGATCCTGTGTTAGACCTTCCACCACCTCCACCACCTCCCGAACCTCTCTCTCAGGTAAGTGTGTGGGGCCAAATATGGCAGAACCATTGACTTCTGCCATCCATTATCTTTGACTTTCTCTTAAGAGATAATTACATTTCTAGGTTTGCATGCTCAAAGCTCTGAAGTACTAAAAACATGAGGATACTGAGTATGTTCATTGCAAAGCCAGAGTCCTCCATAAACAAGATGCATAGGTATTGTCTGAGTACCACAGACTGGGTAATGTATGAAGAACACAGACTTATTTAGCTCACAATTCTGGAGGTTGGGGAGTTCAAGAGTGTGGTGCTGGCACCTGCTTGACCATGGTGAGGACCTCATGTTGTATCATAACTTGGCAAGACAGAGCAAGCATACCTAACAAAGCCACTGTCTTGATAATTTGTGGATCCATGAGTGGATTAATCCAGAGCCCTCATGACCCAGCCATCTCTTAAAGGTCCTACCTGGTCCCGCCTTTTAATACCTCATATGGAAACTACGTTTCAACATGAGTTTGGGTTGGGACATTCACACCATATCATGTATGTATAAAGAGCACATTTGGGCCGTATTTAGTATTTACTATGATTTGGTTAAAAGTTATGTTGGTATGCACACACTCCTGATAATTTTGGGGGAAATGTTTTAGTAACTTTGTATGAACTGATTTATATGCAGTACTGATTTATATTTTTCCATGTCCCTAGCCCTAGCCCAGGACATAAGGGAACACAGGACACTTGTTACAAATTGCCTGAATTGAACTAAATTTGAATTTTGCTGACATTAATATCCCTGTTCAGTAGGGCAAAAAACAGATTTCAGTATCACTTATAATGTCATCACTGGGAAGGGTGACATAAGGTAATGAGTGCCTGACATTAATAAATTTCTGAATTTTGTAAACATACAGCTGAGAAGTTCCTATTGTCATTGTTTGGGCTGTGACCTCAAATTTGTCTCTCATAAAAATATAAAGAGAACTTTTAAGGATTTTTCTTAGAGTGAGCCACTAAAAATATTTTTGAAGAACCCAACTCAATTTCCATTGGCTTCCACATTGGTTGGTCTCTATAAATATGGCCCTTGTGACCCTGGAAATTCCTGTTGGGTCTTTTGAATCAGAAAATTTTAAATATAAATCAGATATTAAATTATACTATATCACACTCATTGCTCCATTGTGCTTACTATTAAAAAAAACTATGTGACAAACGGTGATCAGTATAGAGAAGAGGATCTTAACATAAGGTCCCTGAAAATTTCAAGGGGGGAGGGAGCAACAATTTCCCAAAGCAAATACAAAGTTGAACTCACATAGGAAGCTTTAGAGAATTCCTCACTCTCTGTGTATTCTTAAAGGGTCTGGGGCTCAAAATATTTTTAAGAACCACTGATATAAAAAGATATATGTCTACTTTCAAGTAATTAAAAGGTAACCATAAAAATTCATTTCCTCAACATAAATAGATAGGGGAGCCTTAATAATCCTATTTTCACAATACTAATTTAAGAAAATCAAAGGATGTATTTATCTGGGCTCATAGAATACTTGGCTCTTTTTTCTGACAGCTTATGTGTATGTGTGTCAGTGCTTTTCTTGGTGATTTATAAGCTAAAGTTTGAGTCTAAGTCTTAACTTGGAGGGAGTTAAGGATCTTTTTAAAGTATCAAAGAGAACCTAAGAATTGAAAAAATGCTAATCCAAAAATGTGCATATAATTTCAGAAAGTGTTCAAATCCCTTGAGATGCAGCCACTTTAGATTACTTAGGTTGGTCTCACCAGTTTGAGAGATTTTTGTGGTCTAACTGTGTGAAGAACTGTTAAGATCAGCATTTCATCTTTTATGTTGGAATACCTGGGCTATAAATGGTAACTGCTTTCTGTGTCTTTGAGTTGAAAATTTTGGTTATAGTCATTTAAATTCTGAAATCGAGCATGTGAAGTTGGGTAATTTTTGTTACCAAAAAAAAAAACTAAGATACTAGTGACAGCACAAGCAAATACTCACTGGTATGATTTAATGGACTATGTCAAATATCTCACCATTTTACAGGAAGAAAGAGAAGCCCAAGCCAAAGCTGATAAAATTAAACTGGCATTGGAAAAACTGAAGGAGGCCAAGGTTAAAAAGGTAAACTATGAATCACTTTTTGCATGGGGGAGATTAAATTAGCAAAAACTTTTTATACTTAATGATAAAAGTTAAAATGTCAAGTGGTATTCTCCAAATAGTTGTTATTTTTTTAAAAAAAAAAATTTAAGAACGAAGGTACAGTACATAGTTTGCCTGATAAATGGTGGACTTGTCTTAGTATAAAAGTGGAAGTTCCCTTGACTTTGTACATGATCTCTGTGTTGATTTATGCATGATTTTCTCTGTTAACTGGAGTGTGGGAAGTTGAATACCTTAACAAGAAAGGAAAAGGCTCTGACTTGGCTGCCATACAGGCAGGGGGCTTTCAGCTCTATTTTGAAAAAGTTTTAAACAATTCTGTCCATCTAGGGCTCCTTCCCCTGAAGGGCCCTCCTGGGGTTTTGCTCTGTCTATAGCAGGTGGCGCCACCTTCTGGGCCTGCCTTAATTAGGTTCAACCTCAGCTTCAATGAGTCTCACAATTCCACAATTGCTTTTGTGCATTTTTTTTTACTTCTCCTGGGGCAACCTCTAGCCCCCCTGCTGGCTGCCCTACCTGTCCAAGTCATCTCCCTAAGAACCAAATGTTGTTTATGCTGGTACTCAAGTTTCCAAGTTGCATAGATTTTGAGCAACATATCCTTAACCCTACTTTCCCAGTATACCTATAATTTGATTGTGCATTTTCTGCAGAGCATAGGTTTTTCAGGAGTAGGTGCATTGTATTATCACAGAAACACCTGCACCTAGACTCATTAGAAGCCTATACTTTAAAATAAAATTTGTTAACAATGGTTAATTGGGCAAATTAAGGGAAATGAAACAGCCCTCAGCTTATTTCCAATCCTGAAGCACCTAATATCTCTGAGACTCATTAAGAACTTTTGACTCCTAGTTAAGTGAATAATCCTTTTCAAATACTTTATATATAAGCCCCTGTCACAGTTCTTTGAATGAAGGTGTTCGGTACATGTTGATTTGTTCAACAAATAATCCTTGACTATCCCTGGATCCAGACTTACAACGTTCATCTAGAAGAGTTTTTTTTTTTTTTTCCAGATAAGTCTGGTTTTATTCCTTCCAAACATATATGAACTTCTTTACTATTATTCTCCCCTACTACATATGATTGTGGGTTAATCAGTTTTACATTACTATAATAAATATTTGAGATGATCAACTCATAAGCAAAAAGGTTTCTTTGGACTCAGAGTTTCAGAGGTTTCAGGATCACTGGGCCCTATTCCTTTGGGCTGTGACAACACAGTACATCATGGCAGGAGCATGTAGTGGAGGAGGTGGTTCATTTCATGATGACTGGGATGCAAAAAGAAAGAGGAAGGTGCTAAGGTCCCAGTGACCCCCTCAAGGGCACAATCCACTGACCTAACTTCCTCCACATTAGGCCTGACCTCTTAAATGTTCTAACACCTTCCAATAGTTCCATGGGCTGAGGACCAAACCTTCAACACATGGCACGTAGGGATAGAATCCACAGTGGATAGAATCCCATGGTCACTCCTGGAATTATACATCCTTCCTCAAGCCCTAGCTAATCCCACATTCCTCCTCCAACTCAGTCCTGGGCACTCAGTGCTGCCCAAGCTCCCCAGGTCCAGTCACTCTCACACTAAGTTAGAAAACCATTTACACTGTGTCCTCTTTTGTAAAACCTTCAAAACTTCTTTCCCCAACCACATTCTCTCAGCTTTTGATTTTGCTGCCAATTTTGCAAAAATAGAAAAGTTCCACAGGTTCCCACCAACAGGCTTCCCTCCTCTCATGTGCACACATAGATCCCGTATTCTTTCCCGTGACTAGGGATGAGCTGGCGCACTGCTAGGATCAGCCTCTCCACTTTCACCCCAGTTCCCATCCTCTCCTCTTGCCTTCCTCTACTCCAGAGTCTCCAAAGGCTGCCTGACTTGCACAGGGAAGCCAAAGTTTTTACAGGGGCCTAGCAGCCCCTATTTGATCTGTCTGCCTGCCATCTCGCTGGCCTCACCTCTTACCCTTGTCCACCCCATTCTACTTCCCTGTTGTCATGGCTATTCTTTGAACACTCCCAGTAAGACCTCACCCTGGAAACTTTGCACCTGTCAGTTCCCCCACCTCTTCTGCAGGTTCTGAGTGGGGACACTCTGTCCCTCCTTTGAGTATTCAGTCACCACCTTAGCCAGTCTGCCACTATCACTACACATACCTCCCCAGATCCTCCCTACTCTTCCCTATTTTTCTCCTCACTGCTTGTCACCATCCATCTTACTGTCTTCTAATTTCTTGCCTGTATCTCCTTCCCTCCCCCATAGAAGCTCCTCCATTGAATTTTACCTGTGTTCCATAGTGATGCATTCCCATCTCTTAGGCGCCAGGGGTGCAAGAGGTAAACAGTCAAGTGAGGTCATTACTTGTGTCAAGTTGAATTCTAGCAAGGGAGATAAATGCTATCGAGAAAATGAAACAAGAGGTTGTAGAGAAGGCTCAAGCCACTCTTTTAGATGGATTTGCGGATGGTTCCACCCCCTCGGAGTAGGGGGCAGCTCTTGAGCAAAGTTTTCAGTGGCAAGAAGCAGCTGGCTACATGGAGGCGTGGTAGGGGAGCATCCTGGGCAGAGGGGACAGGTGGGAAAAAGGCACAGATGAGAATGAGCGTGACAAGATGGAAGAAAATAAAGAACCAGGTACCATTGCTCAATGAGTACAGGAAGAAATTGAAGTAAAGGAAGAAATCGAGGTTGGAGAGGAGGTGGGAGCCACAGGGTCTCATAGGCAGGAGGAGAAGTTTAGATCATATCAGAAGCATGATGGGGGTTCATTTGAGGGTTTTAAATAGGAGAGTATGAGACTAATACACAGCATAGGGATCTTGCTGACTGATGCATGGAAAATGAGTTATGGGAGTAGGAGATCCGAGTGGGGTGTCCTCTCTAGCATGGAATATTACACATAGCACATCTCACAATTGGCAAGTGGCAAGTGAGGATGATCTGTGTCAGTCACCCACTTTCCCTGTGGAGACAGAAACAAAAGAAAAATAAAAACAAAATTAATAATCAGACTGTTTCAAACCCCTGGATTACTTATAAATGAGAGCCCCGTTGTTTATGTTCTCAGTAGAGAAGTGAAAAGAGGAGGTAGGATAAGTAGCAGATGCAGTCTGTTTGCTCCAGCTGG